ATCTTCGAACTCCATCAAGGCATTGACCTAATAAACACATACACCAAGTTTGAACATTCTAGCTCAATTAGGAAGAGAGTTATTGTGTCCCAAAAAGTGTGACGGACAGACAGACGGACGGACGGACGGACGGACGGACGGACGGACGGACGGACGGACGGACGGACAGACAGACAGACAGACAGACAGACAGACAGACAGACAGACAGACAGACAGACAGACAGACAGACAGACAGACAGACAGACGGACGAACCCATTTTAATAGTCCCCTGCTTTCTTCGAAAGGCGGGGGACAAAAATTTCATATATGTCTACAACTACACTCTCAAAAATAGTAGGTAATTTTGACAAAAATCGGATAAATTCGAGAATTTTACGAAGCTTTATCCCCAATATTATCAAACTGATATTCAAACAAATGTAGTATAATACAGTCGCCTTCACAGCTGCTATGTTTAATGTTCGTATGACAACTCTTACTGCAACTGGAAGTGAAAATTTGCTAAAATTTGCATTATTTCACTCTTAAATCTCTTGATATGTACAGATCTCATTATAAGCCGCAGTTGAGAGAACTGTCATACCTCACAGTAGTCATTGAATAGTAAAATGTAGGCCTAAATCCTCAAGATTGGAAAATAAATTCTACACTCTAAAAATTCCAGGTCAGCACGACTAATAAGGCAAGATTTTTTCTTTTCTTTCAATTTTCAGGACTGATGTTATCTTTACCTCTACCTGCGACCAACGAGTTAATCATCTATATTTAGACTATACCCTACCTACAAGTAGTAGTCCTACACTCTTAAAGTACGGTGATCATCATCTTCACAAAAAGCCCCCAAAATAAACAAAAAACTTTTTTTTTTTTCAATTGGCTTAATGTAGCAATATATTAGGTGTATGTATATATCAGAATATCGAACAGCAACAATTGGTACTAGTAGTAGAGTAGTTTTATACATGTTGGTCTAACTCGTAACATTTTTTTTAAAGGACAATATTGGTGTCAGTCATTATTACATATGTGATAGAACTGGTTAAATACATTCCAAATATACATTCCAGAGATCATTGCTACGGGAGACGTGTAACAATACGAGAAGAAACGGGAAGTGACGCCAAACATGACAAACACGAGTTGTCCTTCTATATAATAGACTGAAGTAACGAGCGGTTAGAGACAAACGATCGAATTTCATTTCACTGATAATTCCGTTGAAGTTGAAAAGTTATTATATGGGACAGTGAGAGGGTATCTACTGACAGGCAATTCTTTTTTTGAATTGTCAGATATCCTCTCATCGTTTCATATAACAACTTTTCATCTTCAACGGAATTATCAGTGGAATGAAATTCGATCGTTTGTCTGTTACCGCTCGTTACTTCAGTCAGTTATATAGAAGGACAACTCATGTTTGTCATGTTTGTCATGTTTGATGTCACTTCCCGTTTCTTCACGTGCTTGTTACACAACTCCCGTAGCAAAGATCTATGTGTTAAAATTATATTTGGGATGTATTTAACGAGCTCTATCACATATTTTATAATGACTGACACCAATATTGTCCTTTAACTTGTTGTACGTAAAGCAGAAAGCGCAGATTGCTCTCTGAGGTAAGAATATACAATCGCAGATTAAATACTAAATTGGGCAATGCCCGTTATTGACCTCGTGAGTCAATCCTTAATCCTCACAAAATATCAAATATATACAAAATTTACTTTCGGGAGGGAATACTAATCCTTACAAAATATCACATCTAATTACATTCATGAACCCTCACAAAATATCAAATGTAATACAAAAACTACATTCATAATTTTTCACAATATATCAGAGACATTCAATGAATCCTTTCCTTACAAAATATCAAATACATGTACAGTATTATACAAAATTTACATTCATGAACCCTCGCAAAATATCATACAAAATTTACATTCATAAATATTTACAAAATATCATCAGGATAAAATAGTGGAAGTACCTCATGAATCTAATCTCCTCAATATATATCATGATCTATCATCAGGACGGTGTTACTATCATTGACAAATAGTAAATATCAGCAGAACGGTGTTATAATCATTGACAAATAGTAAATATCATCAGGACGGCGTTATAATCATTGACAAAATAGTAAATATCAGCAGAACGATGTTATAATCATTGACAAATAGTAAATATCAGCGGGATGATGTTACCATCATTGAAAAATAGTAAATATCAGCGGGACGATGTTACTATCATTGAAAAATAGTAAATATGAGCAGGACGGTGTCATTGAAAAATAGTAAATATCATCAGGACGGTGTATAATCATTGACAAATAGTAAATATCAGTAGAACGGTGTTACTATCATTGACAAATATGTAGTAAATATCAGCGGGACGATGTTACTATCATTGAAAAAAAGTAAATATCATCAGGACGGTGTTATAATCATTGACAAATAGTAAATATCAGTAGAACGGTGTTACTATCATTGACAAATAGTAAATATCAGCGGGACGATGTTACTATCATTGACAAATAGTAAATATGAGCAGGACGGTGTTATAATCATTGACAAATAGTAAATATCAGCAGAACGGTGTTACTATCATTGACAAATAGTAAATATCAGCGGGACGATGTTACTATCATTGAAAAATAGTAAATATCATCAGGACGGTGTTATAATCATTGACAAATAGTAAATATCAGTAGAACGGTGTTACTATCATTGAAAATTAGTAAATATCAGCGGGACGATGTTACTATCATTGAAAAATAGTAAATATCAGCGGGACGATGTTACTATCATTGAAAAATAGTGAATATCATCAGGACGGTGTCATTGAAAAATAGTAAATATCATCAGGACGGTGTTATAATCATTGACAAATAGTAAATATCAGTAGAACGGTGTTACTATCATTGAAAAATAGTAAATATCAGCGGGACGCCATCTTGGATGGCTGGATACCAGAATTGATAGTTTTGACAGAGCGGGTTCTACGACTGTTTGAGCGGGTTCGAAACGCTAGTCTGTCAATTGCCGATGGTATCGAGTCATTTAGCATCCATATTTTGTCACTATATTGATTAGAACATATCAATGTGGGCGTATAAAAACGAAATACAAAATCATAAAATTGTAGATTACTGAGTTAAGGTCAAGAGGTCAAAGTTAGTTTGTAGATTTATAATTTAATACTGTTTTAGAATTCTGATGATTAAAGAGACACATCAGAGTTTATTAATAATTAAATAGAGATTTAATTTTAGTTAAGAGTACGAGTACGAGTTAAGAATACGATTTAGAAATAATAATGTTAGCCTAATTTTAAAATAAAGTTTTAAATACGAATATTTAGATCTTGGTCTGATGACAATGACATGTTTGATTTGAGGAAAAATTGTACCGAAATGTGGTATTTTTTGTCTCTGTTGATGATACTATTTAAGATACGGTATATTCAATCACAACGCGAATGACATTTAAAGATACGTCCTAACCAGTTAAGGAATTACATACGCAACCAGAAACAATACTAGACGATCAAGGGCTGTTCCAAAATATGTAGTAAGAAATGATGCATGGGTTATACGCCGGATGTGGCGACCGGTTTTAGGAGTGGTCCGCTCTCCACGTCTGACAGACGACCCATGGTGCTACACTTACTAAAGGTATTGGTGTAATGAAAGCTTACACCAAGTTTCACAACTCTGACTCGAATAGAATCAGTTATCGATCTCCACATTCTTGACCAACCAAATTGCTTATTGCACTGCTTGTTACACTGAGCTGAAAATGCTAATTATCGAACAGTCAACATGTTGCTATAATGAAACTATACACTGGGGTTTATCATTCTCACTTAGAAGAATTAACGTTATGATGTCATAAAGCATCGACAAATCAAATTGTTTTCCGATTAGCCTAAGCAGATTATGCACCTAATTTGAACGGGGATCACGTGTCTAAGTGGGTAAGATGCTGGCTCGCTAGCCTGGAGGTCGGGTGTTCGATCCCTGCATTGGCCGAGAAAGTTCATCCAGATTTTCCGGCGTGGTTCTCCCTTGTCAGTGATGCAGGACGGAGGGCCTGACAAGGAAAGCTGTCTAGTCGTTCGGATGGGACGAAAAACCGAAGTCCCATGTACACATTGGCGTGCACGTAAAAGATCCCTTGGCAGTTGGAATTCGATATAAGAGTAGGCCGTAGTGCCGCTGTCCGGGCAAAATTTCCCTCATAGCACACTGTATGGCGTATGCCCCTCTTCATTAGCCCAGTTCGGAGCAAAACAGTAGGACGTTAAACCCCATTTCATTTCATTTCATTTCCAAGTTTGAACATTCTAGCTTAATTAGGCGAGTTATTGTGTCCCAGAGCACAAACCGATAAAATTTTTTATCTCCACACTTAGCCTAAGCAGTATACCCAGAGTGTGCTCATCTTTGAATTCCCCCAAGGCATTCACTTAACAAACGTCTATACCAATTTTGAACATTCTAGCTCAATTAGAAGGAGAGTTAATGTGTCCCAAAAAGTGTGACAGGCAGACCCATTTTAACAGACAGACCAACCGACCGACAGACAGACCCATTTTAATAGTCCCCTGCTTTCAATGAAAGGTGGGGGACAAAAACAAAATATAATAGTTGAGAAGGAAAGTTATTGTGACCCAAAGCATTGATGAATCAAATTGCTTATCTCCGCTTAGCCTAAGAGTATGCTCATCTTCCAATAATGTCAAGGCATTGATCTAATAAACACCTAAAAAAAAAATTTGAACATTCTACCTCAATTAGAAGGAGTGTTATTGTGTCCCAAAAAGTGTGACGAAGGACAGATAGGGACCCTTCTTAATAGTGCCTTCTTTCTTAGAGCAAAGTTGAAACCCAGTGAGATTTTATAGATAGGATTGATGTCTCAAGAGCAAACTGTATTATGACAGTTGATCTATCATATATTGAACTAACTAAAGACAAACATATAATAACTCACCCATTTGACATCCACAGTTCCAGAGATCTTGAGGATTATAATTACTAGAATCAACTCGCATTCCATTAGGATAAACACGAGACAAAAAGCGCTTATTATGATTAACAAATTCCTCAGGACATGACATGGCTAGCTTCAATGCTTGAGATTCACTATATGAACACATTTCCCATAGGTTTTCTGTAACAATAAAATATAATTCTTTGATTTTCTCTTTCACAGTAGGAGAAGCATATTGTTTTCAATTTTACGAGGTTAATTCTGGCATTTATTTTATGATCAAAGGAAATTATTAACCTAAATATAGGTATTGAAATTTGATTTTTCATATGCTGATAAAAACCTAATTAACAAGTTCAATGATATTACATCATGCGATAGAAGTATTTTAACAGACACGTAATCATAGTTCATATAGGCAATAATTTTTAAAACAGAGAATTCTGAGAACTTCTATCTTGCCCTCATGTCTATAAACAAGGAGCTTTTTCACCTATGGTTAAATTTACCTCTTAAATATCAATATCAATTAGTTATGATAAAATTATAATTTGGAAAAATTTTTTTGTTGATTTATGAAGTATTTGGTTGTAAATAATAAACTTACGTTGTTGTACAGAAATCTGAAAACTCTCAAATCTCTTTGACACAAAAAAATTGACAAGTTCTGAAAGCTCTTTAGCAAGTTTATGTTTTTTCATTGACCCTTCCTGAAATTAAAGTTTATTTTTAAAACATTGTTTAAATGTAATAGTTTTAGGACCGAAGTTTTTATATAATTCCACTGAAATGTGAGCATATAAAATATATTCTTCCTACCCTTTTATTATTTTTCTTTTTTTCTGTCTCTGCTCCTTCATCTTCATCTGTAACGTAACCTTCACCACTCTCCTGTTTACCTGTTAATTTCTTACCCTATAAATATAAAAATAACCTTTATATAATTTATTTACAATTCCTGATTACTGTATCTTATTCTACAACATTTACATCAGTTCTAGTTATAGATCATAGACAAAGACCCAAGCTATAAACTTACTTTATCTGATAATATGTAATGCTGCTTCTAGTAATGAATGAATAAATCATAGGCTTTAGATGCTTAATTAGCTTCTAATTAATCACACAAGAGAATGACCCTATCTGTCAATCAGTTTTTTTTATTTTAACAATTTGAAAACACATCTTGCATCTCACAGAAAGAATGCAAGATAGGTTGCCAGACAATGAAACATACTCCCACAGAAGTTAAATAGTTGGGAGTGGTCTACAAGGGTTGTTGCATATTTATTCTTTTGTGCATAATTGGGGGCATTTACAAGACAATTTCATACAGATCAGATCATAATTTTCATCATATGAGGGTTCACAAGGTTTGACAAACTGAAACAAGGGCCATATCTCTGGAAGGAATAAACAGAAATTTATGTACGGACGTCAATATACAACCACATTTCCATGTGGGTGTATAAAAATATAAGTAAATGCAAACCTAGCACTGTAGGTTTTGTAGGTACCCTGCCATTTCGCCTACGTCCCATTTCGACTACAGCTTATACAGGGTTCCCGCTGCTTCGTCAAACTTTTTTTCAAGGATATTCAAGGATAAATATATGTCAACTTCAAGGATTTTCAAGGACATTTTTTAGCCTAAAGTTACAATTTTTCATCTTAAAAATAACCAAAACATTACAACTATCGTTATAAAACTTCTAATCTAAACAGGATTTTCATATCAACTTACTATTATTACCAATTTGAAACAAAATTAAGGATCTCAACTGGGTCCAGAACCTTGATATACCATATTTTTACACTATTTGCGTACAAGCAGTGGCCATTTTGTCCGGCAGTTTTGGTCCTATGTTCACAAAATTCGAACTCAACCTTCTTTACGGAGTAACAGTGATAAACTAATACGTTTTTTTGAATCGGATAAAAACTGTGACCGCTGGAGGAACCACACGCCAAAAACACGATTTTTCGTTCAATCAGGGACCATAATTCAGGAAGTTACGTTCCGATATGTGCAAATATCGAAAGGAACCGAGATCTTTGGGTTATAAGCATACATTTCAAGTTTAAACCAAATCGGATAAAAATTGTGACCCCTACAGTGTTCACAAGCTAAAAAGATAGGTTGCCAGGCAACGAAACATACACCCACAGCAGCTATATTGTCCGGGCAGTCAACAAAAGTTGTCTGATACATTTTTCGGTAATGAAACATTTATAATACATTAAAATCTGATTAAGAGTAACAACTCATTAAGTAATTATCAGAAAACCATAAGAATTTGTTTTGTTTTTATAAGGTCTCATGACCTTAATCGGATATTAACTTTAGCCTCTAGAGCGTCCACAAGATTTTTCAAAGTGATCAAGGGCCATAACTCTGGCAGTAATTATCGGAAATCGCTGAAAATCAATAGGCTTCTTCGTCTCTTATCGTTATTTAAGATGGCAGTTTTTACACCACACACAAAAATCATGTGTAAACAAAATATTCAAATTCGTCCGTAATATAAAAATAGGTGCACCTCGTTATTTTTCATATTTAATTCCTGTACGGTATTCAAATTTATGTCAGTAATATTCCTACAAAATTCGTAATACGATAGAATGAAAGCGTGCCGACTACTGTCGATCTGTACTGTTTCAAACTACCGTATTTTCGGGTCATAAGTCGCTATATTTTTCAGCAGAAGTCTTATACTCCGTTACGACTTATGTACAGAGGGTAAGAATATGATATCCGAAATTTTTTGGGCAATAAACGTTGCTATACCACAACGAGGAATGACACCATCCGCTAAATAATCGCATTCTACTCTAGCATGTGCTATCGTCTAAAACAATTAAGTACTTACACTATTCCAATCGACATATTCGTCAACATTGCCAAGATTACTTATTTCTTTATTTAAAAACATAAACCCCATTCAAAATATGATCATAAATCCGAGAATATGCCATCAAAATAGAATCTTTTCTTCAACATTAGAAGCGTGAATTTAGTCACGTATTCATTTCATAATTTCACGCGTCTCACAAGATTTCTAATACTGGTTCAGCACTCGGCAAACCTCGGCAGATTCCGTTACTCTACATCTAACCTCGGCACTATGACAGTAAGTGATATGTACCTAATCAGATTTTCTTCAAACAAGGACAACTTTGCTCTGAAAATTCTAAACACGCTATTTTGATAACTTCTTTCTAAAACCGGCAAGTTCGTAGGTACATATATCACTTACCGTCATACAGCCTAAGCTAGATGTAGAGTAACGGAATCTGCCAAGTGCTGTAACCGCGTGCTATTGATCTGGGCGTTATATACTCTTACAATATGTGACTTCTCGTTCGTTCGTTTCTAGAGTTTTACGTCCACTTCCACCTAAGGTGATATCATAGACAATGTGACTTCTATGACTAGTTTATACATATTGTCGGCTCACATCAATGCGATTAAAATGTCCGACAATGCAGAAACCATGAGGTTAACACGAAGATTCAAATTATAATGGATTGATGAATAGTCCGACAAAGGGGAAACAATGGCTTCTGTTTAAGATTAGATTGATGAATTGTCCGACAAAGGATTAAGTCAGTCAATCAAGGCAGATTAAGTAGTTAATCAAGGTAGGTTTATAGACTGTATAACACGATAAATACGTTGATCACTTAATTACCTAATCAATCCAGCGTATTATCGACGTTAATCTGGTTGAGTGGTAGTTATACACTCAGTAAACTATATTAATTTCGGAATTTTGAATATTATTTACCATGTCTTGATGTCCGATTGGGCCGTTTGGCCGTTTGGAAAAAAGATTCGGACAAGTCCGGAATATACGGGCAAAATCCCATCACTGCCTTAAACACTGTGTATAAATTTAAAGTCAACGGACGGACGGACGGGGGCGAGAACAAAATACGACCACATTTCAATGTGGGCGTATAAACACGATTTTTCGTACAATCAGGGGCCATAATCCATGAAGTTACAGTCCGATATATGCCAATATCGAAAGGAACCGAGATCTTAGGGTGATAAACCTATATTTCAAGTTTCATTGAAATCAGATAAAAATTGTGACCTGTAGACTGTTCACAAACAAACCTATATTTCAAGTTTCATTGAAATCAGATAAAAATTGTGACCTGTAGACTGTTCACAAACAATTGTGGACGGAGGGACAGGGGAGACGACAATATACGTCCACATGAAAATGTGGGCGTATAAAAACGATTTTTGTACAATTAGGGGCCATAATCCAGAAAGGTATGGTCTGAAATGCACAAATATCAAAAGGGACTGAGATTTTTGGAATATAAAGATATGTTTTAAGTTTGATCAAAATTGGATAAAAATTGTGACTGCTAGAGGGTCCATGACCTTTGTATTACATACTTATACACAATTTGCGTACAAAGAGCGGCTATTTTGTCGGGCAATTTCATTTCGATTTTCCTGAAATTCGAATTCAACCTTCATTATGGTGGAATGGTGATATATAAATCTAAACGGTTTTTAAAACAGGAAAAAAAAAATGTGACCTCTAGAGAAACCACAAGCTAATAAGATATTTACACTATTTGCGTACGAGGGACGGCCATTTTGTCTGACAGTTTTAGTCCGATTTTCACTAAAAAATTCGAACTCAACTGTCATTACGGTGCAACGGTCATATATTCGAACGTTTTTTTAAAACAGATAATAATTGTGACCTGAAGAGGAACCACAAGCTAAAAACGCGATTTTTTGTACAATGAGGGGACATAATCCAGGAAGTTATGATCAGATATGCACGAATATCGAAATCAAACAAGATCTTTGGGTTATGAACAACATGCATTTCAAGTTTGATCAAAATTGTGACCTCTAGAGGGTCCACAAGCTTGATATACCATATTTTTACACTATTAGCGTACCAAGGGTGGCCATTTTGTTCGGCAGTTTTGGCCTGATTTTCACAAATTTGAACCATCATTAGGGTGTAACGGTGATATATTCAAATGGTTATTTTAAATCGTATAAAAATTGTTACCTCTAGAGGGACCACAAGGTTAAAACGCAATTTTTCATACAATCAAGGGCCATAATTCAGGAAGTTATGATCCGATATGAGCTAATATCGAAAGGAACCAAGAAAATTGGGTTGTAAACATGTATCAATCGCATCAAAATTGTGAGCTCTACTAGAGCGTCCACAACCTTGATATATCACATATTTACACCATTTGCGTACAAGGGGTGGCCATTTTGTCCGTCAGTTTTGGTCTGATTTTTACGAAATTCGAACTGAACCGTCATTACGGTGTAACGTTGATATATACGAACGTTTTTTTTTAAATCAGATAATAATTGTGACCTCCAGAGGAACCACAATCAGGAGCCATAATTCAGGAAGTTACGATTTGATGTCCGCAAATATCGAAAGGAACCACAAGCTAAAAACGCGATTTTTCATACAATTAGGGGACATAATCCAGGAAGTTACGATCAGATAAGCGCGAATATCAAAATCAACCAAGATATTTGGGTTATGAACAACATGCATTTTAAGTTTCATCAAAATCAGATCAAAATTGTGACCTCTAGAGGGTCCACAACCTCACTAGAGACCAGGTATACACGTATCCAGCTAATAGATTGCAGTCAAGATGTGTTAAATGCCGTCAAGATTCATCAAAAAACACCCAGTTTGTGCTACCGTGTAGATTAAGAAACACTGTTTAGTTTTGACATCGAGTTTTTAGACAAGGCCTTTATTTTCCCGGACGATGTCAAGAAATGAACACAGTGTTGAATTACTTAAGGTGTTTAGATTTTACGCCAAATTACCACTGTACCGAGAGCCGTCTAGTAACTTACAGGTGAGTAGTAATGCAATGCTGTTTACTTTTCATGT